CCCTCCCCTCCCGCGCTAGCCTAAGGGCCACCTTAGCAAAGCGCATCCCAGGCTGCATAGCCGCACTACCCTACCCAACCATACCACACATAAACATGACACTACCCCCGGGGTTTACACAGACGAGCCGGCGAAGCAAGAAGAGCGCCAGAAGAAAGGGCCCTAGCCGGCGGGGCCCAGCCAGGACAAAAGGAGGTCCCACAAAGCGCCTACACCGGCCGCATTTGCGGTCGGGGTAGACGACGGATGGAGCCCACCTACGAAGGCTGTCCAGGCCTACACGAGATGAGGCAGGATAAAGAGGGATAATCCCCCTCGATCCCAAATCATTGAGGCCAATTTCTAGCCATAGAATAATGGCGTGATTCTGCTGAAAAATTAGATTTTGAACTTAATTGCGTTTACATATGGAAAATTACAGTATTTGCAAAATATTGCTGAATGAGTTCAAAGTAGATATTATAGTTAAGAAAAAAATCAAGGCACGAAGAGCGCCAGAAGAGGCTCCCCTGCCGGCGGGGGTCAGCCAGGGCAAGAGGAGGTCCCGCAAAGCGCCTACACCGCCCATGCTTGTGGTCGGAGTAGACGATGGACGGGGCCCACCTTCACGAGGCTGCCCAGGCCTACCGAGATAAGGCAGAACAAACAGGGATAGTCCCCCTCGGCCACGCTTAACGCTAAAAATAACGAAGCCTTAAATGTAGTACACAGTATAGATTATCAGTCCAGCTGTACTTTCGCGCCAAGCCAATTTTAGAATTCAATCATACAACCTACTCAAAAAATATGACCTTTCATTACAAAACTCAATAAAACTGTTTCTATACACTTATTTCAGATTGTTTGGTTTTCTTGGGTACCTATTAAATGTTTGATGTCTTTTCTATTGTTTCAAAACAAAACTTTTTAATTAATTTCAAGCACAATTCCAGGGAGACTAGTGTAGTCTCCATGCACCATTCAACCAAAGTTCGAGTTGCCTAAACAAATAACAAACCAGAATAATGGCTGGCATAGCCATTTTACAATCTTAATTCCAAAAATCAATTTCAAAATCACAGGTTTGATTTTTAATTTTATTCACAATTTTAGTGTAAAACTGACTTACCTACTATGTGTAGTGTGTAGTGTACTGACAATTTTTTTGGTCATAAATAGAAGAAAATTATCTCTGAATCATTTTCAAAATATTTGATTTCAAAAAATCTAAAAGCAAAATTAAAAACAAGATTATCCTCAGTAAAATATAGAAATAGTAAGATCTTTCTACCGTGGTTATTTTTTCATGTTGAACTGTGTCAAGGGAACATCACAGCAACAAGAATAGGATGAGGTATTTCTTTGAAAGATTACGTTATTTAATAATTTCCATGCTAGGTATGTGTTTTTGTATTAATAATATTTAAACATATAAATTTTATTAATTACCGCTTGTTTACTACATATTGCTGGTATAATTCAATGTTAGTCGGGGCATGTAGTTCATTGAGTAGTTGTTTCCCACAAGCTGAGATTTATGGCATCCAAGAACATTGTTTGACTTCATTTGATAGAATCTTTAGAAACAATTTTTGCATCGATTTAAATTAGCTTATGATCTTCAAATAATGTAACAATAAGGCCAATCGTAATCACAGCCACGTGTGGTTGCCACTAGTGGCTGCAACGGTCTGCAGACTGTATTTTGTATGAAGTTTAAATAAGCTTATCGCAAATACACCATTGGCAGTGGCAGTGCTACGGTAGCAGCCGTACCTCGTTGCTTGTAGCCGACGGCAACCACTTCTTTCGGCACAAACACAGTCCACAGCGTCCACAGTCTATCGCCACCGTTGAACTGATACATATTCTGAAATTATGAGCACGGAAATGGCAGACAATATAGACGAAGATGTATTTATATCCGAAATTCAAAATCGTCCTGCTATTTGGGATCTGTGGAGTATACTCCAACAGATCAGAAAAAAAATTGAAAATTGAAAAGTGGGGGCCACTAGTTAAAAAATTTGTAGCGAATACTAGTAGTTGTTTCTAGGCTGTGGCAACCACACGTGGCTGTGTTTGCGATCGGCCTAACACTGTTTCCAAAATATTAAAATAACGTCTTAAATCAACATTTTCCATATAAAAAGATTGGATGATTCCCTAATCTAATAAAATCTAATTTCATTTTTGTGGGATTTATAAAAACTAAAGTTCTTCATGTTCCATTACAGGATATGTAAAATTAAAAAAACATACTTTCAAAGAAATTAAATTCGGAATTCTTAATATTGGTAGTAGATGAAGTAGGTATTTTAAGAAACTTTTTCGTCGATTATGTACTTAACAAAATAGTACATTTTAAACAATTTTTGTAGATCCTTCCAATGGTTTTCCTTAGAATTTTTTGTTCCCATTTTGTTATTTTTATGTATTTGTTATGCATGTACCGACTTAATGTGATTGATCATATTTTGAATGCTTTATTTGCATATTCTTGTAAATATTTTCTTATATTTGTAACTTTTATGTTACGTGATGCTCAAATATTTAATCATTTTTTAATATCGAAATAGTAAACCATGAAAGATACTTCAATAAAATCAAAGAGAAATTAATTAAATTTTGGGTGCAAATTTAACATAAAACTCAATTGAAAAATCAAAACTTCAAACTTCTGAAGTCTGTAGTTATTATTTTTCTGTTTGTTTGTAAATTAAGGTTTTTTTCATAATTGAATCAGTGGTGAAAATTGAATCTTGTTATCATGTTTACTTTAATTACATGATATTTCCAATGATGATGCACACTATTAAATAAAAAAACTTAAATAACATGACATCAAAACGGTATGAATTAGAACCCAATATTTGTTTATCAGTCTTAAATTAAAGGAGAAATAAAATAATGCAATATGCAGAATCTTCAGGTTGAAAACTTGACGATAGGGAATGCTAAGAAGAAATGGGGCTCCCTGTATAATCAAACATAATTTTAAAATGTAAAGAAACTGGTTTGATGCAACTTTTATGTATTTTTTTTGTTTTTATTCATTGTTTTTTTTTTCACAATTTCACAATTCATTACTGCAAACCCCTGGATAAAATCGCTTCCATACATACGTGCAATGTCAAGAATTGTGAATATTAAATATTGTATATAATTATTTGGAAATAACACTTTCGTACGATTACAAGTGTTATAGGGCTTTATTGGTCATTCAGAAAACAGTCATGTAACTATTATAGATGGCCTCACTATAATCATAAATAAACAAAAATAATGAGTGTTCTATTTAAAATAAAATTTCCTATTATATTTGAGTGTTGTGTGGCAAAAATACTGTTGCTTTCATATCAAGAATTTTTTTTACTTTTGAATGCCAAATTTGATGTCAAGTAGACCACCAGTATAAAAGTTAAACAGGGTATTATTGTTCTGTAAAAAAAAGTAGTCTTTCTGAACTCAGTTGAACATGTAAAAAAACGCTTAGCAATAAAATTTAATGGGTTTCATAGGTGTCCCTAAAAAGTTTTCTGATAAAGGTAAAAAAAAAAAATTATAATTTTTGTATAACGTGCAGAAAATTTCTATTATATGTTCATTTGACCAACAACATATTTTAATTATTTATGTCCTCAAATAATTTTAATATATTGATTGTAAATTTCATTTTGTTCCGTTTCAAAAGGTCTCCAAAATGCCATGTTGTAATACTTAATATTATTTCTCCCTTTCACAATTATAATGATTACACAATGATTAATAGAAGGTGCCTATAATAAATTAAAATTACCTGAATCCCACCAAATTCCGCATTGCTGCACTGCACTGCTCGGAAATTTGTCAACACTTGTCAACGGCTGAGATTTATTGCCCAGTAGCCCAATGCAGCTGTGTTAGATTTCGTTTGCCCGCGCCCGCATTCTTCAACTGAGCGTATATATTTCTACCACCTCCACGTTTAGTTTGACCAGACCAGTATATGGTTATGGCTAAATAAATATGGGAACAAGTTTTCAAATATTGCAATGCCGAGTTGCTGTGTCAGCGACCAAACCTGGTACATACTACCATCCTCTTGGTTCTTCAATTGATATCGGAAGACTATACCAATACTGTTTGAATTATTGCTTTGCAAGAAAAAGATATTTAACAACAAGGAATGTTTTATTTACATACTGAAATACTGTTTAACAGCAATATATACATATATTTTTTTACATTAAGTTATACTAAATTATAACATTGTATAAAATTATATAAAATAATTTTTATAAATAAATTAAATACACATAATGTACAAATGTATATACACTTTTCTTAAATATTTTTAAGTTCTTATGTACTTTTTATCACATTATTGAGATATCTATGAGATTTTTCTAAAATTTCTGATATCAGCACTGAAATTCTCAAATAAATTTGAATCAAATAATTTATTTGCTCTTCATTTTTTCAGTAAATAACAAAGGGTTCACATTAAATAACAAATATATACTGTTGAAACTCTTTACAAAAGAATATTAAAAAACAATTTTTTACTTATTACAACTAGTTTTTACTTGTATTTTAAATTTGAAATAAAGCAGATTTTTTTTTGTATTAATTATACCATTAGTATATAGAACAAGAGAGTTATTCCCAATGCTCATCATTGTCAACTGTCATGAGCTTATGCCACTAACATCCAAGGAATATTTCAATCGAAGCGGTAATATCCAAAGATCCATGTCATCATTAGAGACAAGTCATTACATAGACTGTTGCAACAGAACATACCTAAGTAATGACTATAATTAATAATAATAAAAAAGTGTCCTGGGACGAAGATGCTATAAGCTGTCTCTAAACTGTGAGCAAAGGCTAAGGTTATGAGTAACTCTTTTGTAATACATACCTACTCAAGTCTGATTTTTAGTTTCTAAAAACCAATTTTCTGTTTTCATGATTATTTTGAAGCCCTTTATAACATTTTCACCATTACAATAGAACTAAAACACAAAATGAGTTTACTCCATATTCCAAAAAGCAAATTTTGTCTTAATGTATTAATTTGGTCTGACAATATGTCTAATGAGCAAATATTATTTTATTGATCATTCCCTTCTAACTTTTAAAAATTTTTCATTCTAAGGGAACCCTAAACCATTCCAATTTCTAATCCCTGTTTCACATGGATGCTGACGGTCAGCATTTGATTTTTTTCACATGTTCAGATGAAGAACAAGTGTAGGTACAGAAGGTACAGAACAAAATGAACCCTGACAAAAGAGTATCGATAGCTGTTGCCATATCTGCAGCTTTATGTGATCATGTCCAGTTTGTCTAGAGATACAAATGTCAAGTGTTTCAAAAATATTTGTCGGCGCTAAAGATCAGAAAATAAAAGTAATTTTTTTTTATCTCGTTTAAACCCTTGCAAAATTTAAAAATGTGCCACTAAACGAAAATTTCAAATGCACTAAAATTTAGAAATTTTTGGGACATTTTTTGGAACTAAGGTACATATTAAGGTTATGCAAGATTCACATCGATGCTAATTAGTATGTACTATGATATATCACAAGAAAGATACTTGTGATGAATTTTCTTTATATTACTTTCCTCAAAAATATCTCAAATAGCACTTCCGGCACTTGCAACGAATTATTAATTTTGAATAGAGTAACTTTTAGTCAATATCAAACTGGAACGCAGGCTAGAAGGCAATTGCATGGTGGGCCATGTATGTAGATATAAGGGATTAAAAGAATAGAATTGTTAATTCAAATAAAACAATTAAACAAAATTAAAATCTAAAATTCTATTTTTTATAATCCAACTAACTTTGTACCATTTGTATAGTATATTTAGGTTTGCAATTTTTGGATTCAGATCAATTTTGATTTAAACGCTTCTTTTTCAAAATACGTAGTCAAATTTAAAATTTATAAAAAAATTATTAAAAGCAACTTGAAGCATGAATAGAAGGAAGTTGCAGTAAACATTGACCTCTTCAACTTCTTCCCATCTATGCCTATGATTCAAAGGTATTGTTCTTTAGATCAATCGTTTTTCTCTGTCCTCTGTTTACATTTTGCTTTTCTTTATTAAAATTATGAGAAACATGTACCAGCATAGTATAAAAGACTATGCCAAATTTTAACTTAATATCTTAAAAGGCAAGGAAATTAAGAATAGTTATTTATGTACCAAGGCCAAAAAGTTGTATTTTTATGAATGTGCCTGCTTTGCAGCAAGATAATGACGCTTTAAAAATGCAGGTTTTGTCCGCATATTAAAATTTTCCATTAATCTTAATAACTTGGCACTTTTTAGAGGTCATACTATTTTACATCCTCAAAAACTTCACAGACTCAATTACTTCACATCCTTTCTTAATTCACGAACACAGATTCATTCTATCCCTTTATAACTGACGTGAAGTACTTGAGATTGCAAGCATTTGCGGATATAACATAAAGACATTTAAAAAGTGACACTTTTTGTCTGGAAACGACTTTATAAAATTGCACTTTATGGCTAGACCAACTTGAAAAGGTTTTAGGCGTAGATAAAAAATTAACTAAAAAATTATAATTCGATATTATAAATACTGTTTTATAAATTAAAAAAACTGTACTGGTTCTCAAACTCTAGATTCTCAATAGTTTCAATATAGTTATAATTGGACATATAAATTATTTTAAAAGATATGTTTTGTACATATGTGGAATTTTGTCATAATTTCTACAATAAATCACTTAAATTGCGATAAATTGCCCAATCTGGCAACTGTGGTTTCCTTCAATCATCGAATATAACATAATAATCTCTTAACTTCACACATGGAAATTGCTAACAGGCATGCCATCCCATTAGTTCAGCAACTACCTAGTGATTTTTCTAGTTTTTCACTTGACGGTGTAATTATACAAAAAGAATGAGTCAAATACGAGTGAAAAATAATTTACCAATTTAACACAACTAATTCCTACACCAAAAATATTAAAAAAATTATTTTTTTCATTTTCTTTACAGTTGAAGAAACTACCCCCTTGATGTCAATGGCGATATGTGGGACCAATATTCTACATATTTGCCTGTGCTTATACAAATCGATGTACTAGCAGTGAGCAGTGACGTGAAAATTAGCAACTGAATAATGCCAATTGTCAGTGCACTGATCATCAGCGTTTGTGTGAAACAGAGGTAAGGCAATTATGACGGAGAACATAATGGATATAAAACTGATCTCATACTTGGATATCTATTAATTTTGCTACTTAGATGTTGAACACTCCGGTTTAGCTAATACTGTACATCTTTCTGTGCAAGGCGGGTGGAAACAAATAGCACTAGCATGACCAGAACGGCCCGATGTCAACGGTACACCATCCTCCCAACTATTTGTCGCTGGATCATATATTTCTACATCAGTCAAAAAATTTTCCCCATCGTATCCACCTAAAAATTGTTAGAAAATGTAATAAAAATACACTTTACGTTAGAGTTAATGCACTATTAAAAATTAATTTTCCAGCGATCATTTTTCAAATTATAGGTTTATTCCATTTAGTAACTTGCTAAGGTAGAAATTTTTATTGAAATTTCAGGTTTCAGTACACAAAGCACAAAAGAGATGATGTTTTTTCTTGAAAATTTAAAACTTCCTGTATGAATGCACTAGCTTCATTGATGACTGTCTACTTTAACCCTTGCTATCAGTATGAGCAGTAGAGACATTATCATCAAACCATTTGTTTAAACAATTTGTTTTTTAATTTGGGTCATTATTTGTGTTATTAATTGAGATACACAGTTAAAGTGCAACAGCTTTTAATGTAAGAATTTAAATACTTAGACAAATATAATAATAGTAAAAAGTGAAAATCAACAATAAGATCAAACTCAAGTAACACTTCCAATAATGGCCAATATTTTTTTTCACAATGCTATATTTATCTAAGTACGTTTTCAGTGTTATCAAGATAGGTAGGTACGTAAGGGTTAAAGATTTCTAAGTTGTCTGTCCATATTACACACTAATTTATATACAATTATTACTATTTACTATTATGCCTTACATTTTTACATCAACCCAATGTATTTTAATTTAAATGTTTCGCATTTGTTATCAGAAATAACAGACATAACAACATGAATTGAGAAACAAATTACTCAGAGAAGATGAGACTACCTAAGTCTCGTAACTAAAAGAAACAAACCTATAATGCAAAAAAGGTCATCAAAATTAGATTAGCCGAAGAAATCAATTTAGAAATTTAAACAAATTTTTAGTGGTGTATTTGATCTGAATAATAATGTTACAACATATACATGCCTGACTCCTTTTGAAATTAATTAAAATATTGATTGACTTTATTTAATAAAACCGCACACGACAAACAGCAGCAGCTGACTACTTTTTTAATAACAAGTCTGTTTTAATAGGTATGTATGATAAACAAGAAACAATTGAGCATGTGTAGTTCCTACAACACAAATGCCACACGTTCCATATTTTGACTGATTTCAGTTCGTTTTTTAAGTTTTACTCGAAAATCAGGCTCTTTTCGAAAAACATAAGAGAATAGTAGTTTGTAGAAAATTGAAAGACGAATCCAAAAATATCATGATCGTTACCGTAAAGCAGTGGCGTACTATTTTATTTAGAAAAATATGCCACTGATATCCTGTACCTCTGCCATTGGAGCATCTAAATTTTACAAAAAGACCTCAGATTTTGGAGAACGTTTACATAAATACATGTACCCAATTTCAAATTATTTCACTTATTAGTTTTTAATTTATTTGAAAAAATTAAAAATATTTTTAAGTTTAACACCTTGTATCTTTTTAATGAAGCGTCCTAGATAAAAATTTTATACAAAAGATTCCCCTTAAAATTCACCAAAGAATACAAAGTTTCATTTTTGGTCACAGTTTATGAATCACCCTGTATAAAACCAAAGTTATGGGTGGAGGGTGGAAGTTAGTAACAATATATGGTTGAATATTAAAAATGGGGTCATAACAACTAAAACTCACTGTATACAAAAATATATTCAATATACAAAAGAAAAAATACTTTTCAACCTTTATATTTTCAATAACAATATTTGAAAATTATATTCAATTTTTTTAATGTCTTCGACTCTAATTCAAATACTTTTTTTGTATGTCAAACAATAGAACTACTGTTTTTTGTTTTGCCCCACTAAACAACTAAACAACTTCTTGTATAATTTAAATGATTTTAAATTTAGCCATTATTCGAGTAAAGTATTTTGTAGTAAAAGTTAAAACCCAAAATGTTATCCTTTTTATTTGAAAAGATTCATTCTGAGAAAAAAAGTGTCAGTTCATTTTATCTTCATATAATTTTCAAAGAAAATTAAATAAAGAATAGACTTACCCATTGCATAAATCTTACAATCTAAAACAGTTATACTAAGGGCACTTCTTGCTTTACGCATTGGACAAACAAACTGCCAAATATCATTTTCTGTATCATATCTTTCCACGGAATTTAATTGTGACTCGCCGTCGTAACCTCCTACTACATATATGTATTGATTTATAGCTGCTACTCCTAAAATGTAAGATATTTTTTTAATAAGTTAGTAGTACTACCAATGATGTATTGTAGTTATAAAAAGTAAAAATGGTGATAAACAAGGTGTCCCTAAACTTAGTGGTACAGATGATGCTGAGCAAATGAAAATAAGATGAAATATTTCCGACTTTCTATGAGCTTCAGACTTCTCGATGTTAATAAAATGGCATGCTGTGATTTCAGCGATATTTGAAAATGCACGCATATGAGTAGATGCTGACAAACTATTCCTATCGTTAATACTGATTGCATTTCAGCGGATGTGCGTATCGCATAACTAACTGTGAGTTGCACATTCTCACTTTTTTAGCAACAGCTTAAAATATATTTGAAAGACTGATATTTAACAAAGAGTCACTAACTACCAATATGCATATTCATACATCATTACAATCATCTGAATAAACATATGCTGTAGAAACGAGTGTTTCTCTAAGTAAGACTTAGTTATGATTTTATTGTTTTTTATAACCCAGATCAGACGCTATAAAATTTTTTTCTTGAATTTCAATTAAATAAACTGTTTCCAAGATATTCGAGGTTAAATTAGTTAGAATCACAGTAAATGATAAAAAAACATATGGTACCAATTTTTTAGATAAATTAACTCCCATATAAAAATGTGTATACAATAGTCCTGTTCCTCTAAACTAAATTATAGGCGTACGTCAGTTTAAAATATTTCCTGTCATTACAATTATTAAGTATTGTTGAAAGTGTGAGTATAAAATATGAGTCGTTTTGGAAAAATTTCGAATGAACAAATTAGAAAAAACAGAAAAATCAATTCCACAATCTACAAAAAACACTAAATCGTCGATATGGAAACAATTTATGGAGTTTTGTCAAATTCGAAATTACGAACTGTCGGAAATTCCATTAGAAAACATAGCGGATATGTTAAAGGATTGAGCATATAATATGAAAAACAAAAATGGGGAAGGTTACAAAGAATATGCAGTTAAAACAATCTGGAATTCAACTGCCAAGATGAATCAAGAACAATATTTCATTGAATACGACATTAATTTGAACCTTTTACTGACATAATGTTTTGCAGTATTGTCTTTTTTATTCTCTTTTTTATATGAATCTATATGTATTTTCCTGCCCTGTAATTGGGTATCCTGTAGGGCAGTGTATGTCATAAATAAATAAATAAATAAATAAATAAATAAATAAATAAATAAATAAATAAATATCTTTTAAAGAAGATGCAAGAAACAGTAAGAGAAAGAACAAGCGATTCCAGAGAAAAGAAAGATGTTCTGTAGTAATAGATAAGCAAAATATCGCAAAATTGTGGAACATATATGAACCAGAGGGATTACAAAAAAGATTCTTTCATATTGACGCTTTAGTATGAAAACATGCTATCTCAGATTTCGGTTGGAAAACATTTTAACTCAGATCTTTAGGTAAAAACATGCTATCTCAGTGTGACTAGAAATTTAAGTTGGCACATTGAATGATTGAGACCATGCATTTATAATAAACTTATATAATATATTTTAAAAAAGTAAGGAATGTTTATGTTCAGGTACACTGTTTATTTTTTTTTTTTTATTCAACATTTTTCAATTAATTTTGTTAAGTTACTGTTATAAACGACAAAATTGTTAATTAAAAAAATAGAATAATATGCAATATGCTGCAACACGTACATTATTCGACGTTTTTTGAAATAACAAATTATAAAAAAAAATAGTGTATACCTTAATATATAAAAATGTTTGTTAGTACTAAAAATTATTCGATTTTTTTCATACAAGTTTGCTTTGATATCAAAATTAATAGCATACTCTTTTCTGAACCATGGAAATGTGCACGTGCAAATCATATGCCCCCGTCGCAACGATAGATGTATACATGTCATTCAACTTTATACATTATATTTATATTCTGGTTATTATGTTAACTCTATTAACAAAAGTAAGGGTAGTGACTATAAATCAGGTAAGAGTGCACTATTAATTGTTATATCAAAGCAAACTTGTATGAAAAAAATAATTTTTAGTAATAACAAACATTTTGATATATTAAGGTATACACTATTTTTTTTATAATTTGTTATTTCAAAAAACGTAGAGTAATGTACGTGTTGCAGCATACTGCATATTATTCTGTTTTTTTTTTTAATTAACAATTTTGTCGTTTATAACAGTAACTTAACAAAATTGAAAAATGTTGAATAAAAAAAAATAAAACAAACAGTGTCGACTGTACCTGTATACTGTATACACTATTTTTTTTATAATTTATTTCAAAAAACGTAGAGTAATGTACGTGTTGCAGCATACTGCATGTTATTCTATTTTTTTTTAATTAACAATTTTGTCGTTTATAACAGTAACTTAACAAAATTGAAAAATGTTGAATAAAAAAAAATAAAACAAACAGTGTACCTGAACATAAACATTCCTTACTTTTTTAAAAATATATTATAAAGTTTATTATAAATGCATTAAATTTCTAGTCACACTGAGATAGCATGTTTTTACTTAAAGATCCGAGTTAGCATGTTTTCCAAGGTTAATTTGAGATAGCATGTTTTCCAACCGAAATCTGAGATAGCATGTTTTCGTACTAAAGCGTCGATATAGCTTCTTATAAATTGCCTTGGAGGGGAGGAAAGGCTACAAACTATAAAATTTACAGGAAGAATCGAATACAATTTAATATTTTCAAAGACAGCACAAGACGGATCGAAAAAATTGAGATAGCAAATGCATTACAAAAAATAAGAACGATAAAAGTATTTATCCAGTTACAATGTTAAAATTACTCTTAGAAGAAATAAACAAAAACATAACATCCAATCGACAGTTTTTAACTCCAAATACCTTTTGGACGAACACAAATTCTAAAGGTTGGTGTAAAAATGGTTCACTAGGAATTAATACTATGTCTACCTGGACAAAAGAATCTATAGCTAAAATTGGACTGGATATCACAAATAATAAAATTACCAACCATTCAAACTGAGCGAGTACAGTTTCTCACTTAGCCAAAGCAGGGATAAGTGACCAACAACTGATAAATATAACCGGACACTCATTGTCATCATCCATTAAACAAACCCTATCTTCAAATTGACGCTGAACATCACGAAACTCTTTTTAGTAATTTACGAACTTCGGATAGAATAAGTCAAAAGGAATATTCAACATGTAGGGAAACTAGACAAGAAAATATTGAAATCGGAACACCAAACCAAACAATTTATAATAACTATGTTTTTAATAACTGTTCCTTCAAATAATTTGAATAAATAAAGATAATGGTTGTTATTCGTACACATAAAAATATATATCATAATAAAGATATTTATTTTTGTTGTTCATTCACATATTTGATCATTAATTTATCTTGCCAAAAACCATGCGAGTTTTTCATTTCATGAATAAATTTCATTTAACTAAAAATTTTTCTAATCAGTAATTTTGCTGGCAAAACTGGCATTTGACAAAATCGCTCGACCTTCGGTCTCGAGATTTCTTCATGTCAGTTTTTCTCATAAAATTACTAATTGGCAAAGTTATTTCATTACAAAGAGAAATTTATCCAATAAAAAAAGCTCTTGTGATTTTACTGTTGAAAAAACTATTAAGACTACAATGAGGTTAAACTAGTCAGAACTATTTATTGAAAATACACACAATTTTTAGGATATTTATTCAAAATGCCCCCAGCAGCACAGGAATGCGTGGACGCACACATGCACAAACGCATACATGTATTTGTCTTTCTAGAGAAAAAATGACCACGTGACCACATAAATTGAATTGTTGATTTTGAAGAATATTCTCCAACCTCCATCTCGGCTCTTCAAGAGAACCTTCTATGGAGGTAGAATAAACATTTTCTTTAATGTCCCCAGGAAGGGAAATCCAAAGGATTAAAATCAAGGGATGCTGCTGGCCAATTTATCTACTTTGCAGAGGCATATCTTCAAAAATTCAAATAAATAGTTGGATAAAAATGCGTGATGCAAGCACACTACAATTGGCTTGCTTATTTCAGAAACAACCTGTCACATTTCAGCAAGTGAAATTTGTATGTTGTTACACATCTCTATAAATAATGCATCGTTGAGTTAAGAAAGAACCATATTGATTATATGCCGCCATAAATTTTGGTTTATTTAAGGAGGATCGGGTGCTTTTAAAAAATGTAGACAATTTCATATTATTGAGATATATTATTTTTGCAATACAAAATCAAATTCTGTAAATTTTTCTCGAATTATTTATCAATTTGTTATTATTTTTTACAAATTATAATTTAAAAATATAATTGAAAATTAGAAGTTTTTCCTTTTTCAGAAACATCCCAAGGTCATTTTAAATTAAAAAAAGTAATCACTATTTTAGTCATCACTGAAAATTAAACCTAATGGAATGTCTGTTACCAACTATTCCCTTAGGAAGTGTGTAATCTGAGAAAAAGAGACCATTTTTGGTAGTATCACCCCTATACTTCACTCAAAACAGAAGCATATTTCAATTACCTGGAAAAAATACCTTATTCTAAAATTTACCTATCAAATTTGTGAATAAAGCCAATGTTAAAATAATAATTAGAATAATAAATTGTCTCTGGTTTGAATGTACTGATAGGTACTAATAAACAAATATTATCCAGTAGGGTGGAATTTTGATAGTATTTGCAAAGAAATATTAGATAGTGAATATGGCTTACCTGCTCCACTTCTCTGAATATTCAGTGGTGCTATCATGGTCCATTCATTATTTTCCGGATGATAACATTCAGCACATTTTAGTCTTTCTACACCATCGTAACCCCCGATTGCATATAATAATCTGTTCACCACTGCTACACCTACTGCTAAACGTTTATAATGCATTTGTTTAACCATAGTCCATCTGTCTGTCTCAGGGTCATAACTAAAATATAAGTGTAAAATTTAACAAATCATAACTTTCATTTTTATATTTACCATTCAACACTACTATGATATTTTGGTCCTTCGCTGCCTCCAACGGCATATAACAATCCATCCATAACAGCTACACCAACTCTGTGCCTTGGCATCGACATTGGACTACAAGGTCTCCATTTATCTTTCACAGGATTATATTTGTCGACCCAGTCGGAATCATAATTATTTCTGGGACTGCTATACCTCCCTCCCACTGCATAGAATGATCCCTAAAAATTATTTGCCTAAAGTTGAAACAAAATTCATTAATGATTAAATTCAGTTATATATCTTATATGAAATAATTCTAAAGTTATCAACTGATGTTTAACCCTCAAGTTTGTCTCATCTTTATTGCATTTCTAGGGAATCTAGTGTAAACCATGAAATATTCTATATCGGAGTTCCAAAATAGTAGGCGGTAAGTCTCATAAATAAATCAACCATAATTTAAGTCCTTTATTTGGTAAAATAATTTTGTGTACTCTGCATTGTGCCAATTATTTTGCATAGTGTATCAAATACATTCAGCGTGCGCAATGACTGCTGCTGCTTGTCTAGTGTCAAGTCAGTGGTACATGTCATTTCAATGTTTACACTTTTAATAGTTTTAGTGGTTTTACTGATTTCGTGTTGCCATACTGTTACAACACTATGCAAGTAGACTTTCATATGGTCCACTTGTCGAAATAGTAAAAACACTGACCACGTCTCACAATAAAAAACTAAATGAATGTACACGGGTAGTAGTAGGCCATCTTTGCCATAAATTCAAAATGGATATTGGTATACACCAAAGTGTAGATCTAACTAAAATAGACATATGTATTTGTTGTTATATAATTAATAATTTCTCAAAAATGATATACCCTTAGAATTGCCTTCCCCACACACACCTTACCTGTCACATTGGAAATAGTCACTGCCTACAATTTTGGGACCCTAGGTACACATTGAGTACATTAAAAAAATTAAACATTAAAAAGTGGAATAGGTTCCCAATTAACCAGAAACACTTTTTTAGTTATTATTTTATGCCAATATATATGTTAACATCCCATATTTAAATATAAAGTTTTTTTTTAAGTAAGTTAAAAAATAACTATTTAAAATATGCCACCACAAGTGACAAGACTTCCCTTGTGTAAAAACAAAAGGATTTCTATCTCATTTACATGAAAATTTAAGGCATTGTTGCCAAAATTTATTATTATTTATTGTATAAATTATTTATATATACAAATAATGTACACATTCTAAAAATGAAAAATTGTTAAATGTAAAACATGTTTAAAGGAACAGGAACCAAATCTTTATAAAAATACATTTATATCTGTTAATAATTTTAGACATGCATTTCTGAAATAAAAAAATTATTTTGCGATGATTTTTCAGTTTTATCTAGACTTAATAATTTCATAAAGCAGTAATCTGATATCAACTATTACACACATATTAAGTCATGAATATTTCAAAGTTATACATACGTACATTTAAAAATGCTCCTCCTAGTCCAGATCGTGGTACTGTAATTCTATCCAATTGTGTCCAAGTTTTTTCATCTACATTAAATCCTTCTAAAATATCAAGTGATTGTCTATAATATCCTCCAGCTACATAAATAACTCTTGGAATATTTGGAGAACGTTCCTTTACAACAGGCCGAACATGAAGTGTCAAATCCTAAAATTAAAGTTATTTATATTTATTACACAATTACAACACCTGAAGAAATACCTTAAATATCCGAGCTAAATATTCCTTACATGCAGGTGTTTTTTTTATAACTTCACAATTCGTCATTTGATCATTAAGAAATTTAGGTGGCAGAAATTGACATCTTACGGCAATTAAGATATTTTCCATTTTTCTATGTCTATTGTCTTCATCATATCTAACCCATTTCAAAACAGCGTTGTAGACTTGTTTCTCATCTTGAACATTAAGTTCATCTTTTTTAATCAAGTTAACGAGTTGCATGCTGCTTAATTGTAGAAATTCTTCTTCCTGACATATCTACGGAAACTTCAAATAATTAGAAGGAAGAAATATTGAGCCTGTGCTAACTATCAACCTGACAAAAATTGCGTTCTATGTATTGATTAGCTTTCTTACATAATTCAATACATCCATGCTGTTCAGCGAAATTCGCTATGCCTATTGCATTGCTTGGATCCAGTTGCCTTTCCAAAAAATCACAGCAAGCTTGTATTACATTTGGAACCTAAAGAACAAATAATCACATTTTTATAAAATGATAAGTGTGTTAATATAGTTTATTGTATTATAACTTCACAGATGTTTAAAATGTTTGTAGGTATACAAATTTATTCCACTTACAAAAACTGGACTAAAAATATAAAAAGTTCATATACAGGATGTTTCAGTTCGAGTGAATCAAACTTTAACCACAAACAGAACTCAATAAATAATTCAGAATTGCCTTATAAAGCAAGGGTTTAAGTTCCACCGTTTTCACTGTACAGGGCCGTATTGGTCGGTTGTTAAAATCATATTATTTATGAAATCTTTGATATGCTTATAACAAATTGATTCAAATTTGATGTGGTGTTAATATTTACACGTGTGCATAATTTACTGTAAAATTTATAAATTTTTGTAGATCAGTGGGTAGTAAAGCTGTTTTTTTACCTCAACTTCTACGCCAATAGCAGATTTTGCTCAAATCGGTTAACTGGGTTCTGAGTTAAGGAGAAAATAAGAAACTTTAACACACTGTAACTTTTTTGCAACATATGTTGTTTAAGCAAATTTGGTTAAATCGACACCATTTGGGTTCTACATTATACCCTTGAAGTATGTAACATTCGTTAGGTGACGCCTTGTATAAATAGTTTTTTTATATAAATGGAAACATGAAATATAACTAAAATAATATTTTCCCTAAAGGATTCGGTACTAAACTTAATACAGTTACAATAAATAAAGTGTTTTTTTTAATGATAAAATAGGACTTACTTGAAGCATGGTGGCAGCTGGCAGTAGTTGGCACACTGTATTTTCAGTCACACGTATTTTTCCTGTGTACATAAAATGTATAAGTCTAGCCATAACGGTTGCTGAAACTCCCTGCATTTTCACTCTATTCATATCGCACTCTTTAAGGCCACCAGTGAACATGGCTTTAAAATAAGGACTGGCAGCAGCCAAAATCACTCGGTGAGCATGGAAAAGTTCACAACCAACTTCTAGCACCACGTCTGTTAACATTTGATGTCCTCGCATCATGTCCATTGACTGCAAATTGTATAGAAACCTCTTTTTAACTTAAATGAGAATTAACACCTTTCCATTTGCATTTATTAATATATTAATATAACTGATTATGATTCCAATTTTCAGACAAATGTTCAAAAATGTATTGTAAATTGTAAAGTATTTTATTTTATTATATACCAGGTGGGTAACTTTGGTGATGAATTGGGATTTTAAAAATGATAAGTAGTAGTAGTGAATTGGGACGGCCTCAACCTGGCCACAAGTGAACCCTTCTTGCCTACTATGCCATGACATTACCCATCTGCCCTTCTTGAGACTACCTGACGCTCTGAAGAATGCCAGGATTTTGATCCATGGCAAGTCCCCCCCTCACCTCATCCTCTTGCAGCTCTTCGGTACCAAAGACTGTATGCCTTAACCTCTCGAAGCCTGCGCAGTGTCCCAGAAGATGGATAGGGGTATCCTCCTCTTCTCCACATATTAGGCATAAAGGGTTCTCTTCAATTCTTATTAAGCTTAAATGCCTCCTAAGTCCCATCCCATCTTATCTTAGGTTTTTTAGGCCCACATATAAAGCTGTGGGCTTACCTACATCCTCTGTTCATCCTCCAATTTTGACCTAATGTTTGACAGGCCCATTTATTAAGGGTCCCGTTATTGCTACCTCGTGTGATTCCGAGGATTGGCTCAGGTCCCTGGCCAAGCCTCCAAAATCCAAATCAACTATACCTCTCTTCGTCTGGACAATAACTTCAGGGCATCTTCATACTCTTGAATAAGGACAGACCTTGTCCTTGGGGAGCTAACCGCCCTGAGCGCAAACTGACTGTTAGAGCAGATACAAATCCTCTCCTCTACACAGTTCTTTATCTCTTCCTTACTTGCCACCATCAAAATAAAATTTCTACCTGAATGACTGTGGTATACATACCCAGTGAAAAACTTTCCTGGATACCACTCCCTCCCGGGTATATTTCTGCTCCTGAATACTCATCTCCCTCTCGAAATCCATAAGTATAGCATACTAGGGATCCCAGAGCGAACATATCACCAGAGGAAGACAGTGACATACTTATTTCCTAGCCTCAGCCGGTCCTCTGCTTCAATGACCCTTATGACAGATATTGGGATCTCCTTATCCACCCTCAGGGCTATGGCAGCGTGACCCTCTACCCATAGTTCTTCTTTCCAACCGCCTATGTGCTTTATCCTTAGGGATGTCGCCATCGCCTTCCCCACAATTCTTGTAGGGAGGGTTGGCAACCCCAGGAGGACTGCTAATGTGGCCATTGGAGTCATCCTCATTGCTCTTGTAATACCTAAGCAGGCAAGCCTTGGTCCACACTCGGCCACCAGACCAAGGCTCCATACTAGTAAGTCTCACTTTGACTATCGCTGTGTACACCCAATGAAGCACCCTTGGATTGAGTCCTCAGTTTTTGCCAACTACCTTCCTCAATTGCCAGAGGGTTATCACTAATTTTCGGATGGTTCTTTCAACCTGTCGTTCCCACGACAATTTGCTATCCAGGATTACACCCAAATATTTGACTTCCTACACATGGTTGGGGGCTTCAATTCGTCTATTTTCCTTCTTGTTGTAAATAGGATCATCTCAGCCCTCTTTGAGTTGACTGAGAACTCCACCTCCTCAGACCACCTCTCTATAATCCTACAGGCTCGATACATTCTGTTGCAGACCACGTTCAAAAACTGGCCTCCGACTAGAACCATGCCATCATTAGAGTAGGCCTGGGCATATAGATATGCCCAGGCCTACTCTAATGATGGCATCCCTCCAGGGTTAGGCACTCCAGGAGGCCATCCATCACAATAGATGGTGAGAAACAGCTGCTTTGAGGGCATCCATCTCTCACCACCATCCGCTTGTAACAGTCCCATGGTTGCACTAACCTTCCTTTCCTTCAATGCCGATCTCACTCATACGACCACAGTAGGTGATGATCCCTGATCTTGGAGTGAGTCGCATATAGTCTTAGTTTTTGCCTTGTCGAAGGCTATGATAATAAATAAAAAACAATTAAATGAATAAAGTTTTAGATTATTCTATTAATGGCTCTCACAAACCTGTTCTTTTCAGTGATGTGCCAAGTGCAAAAAAATAAAAAACATCACAAATAATATTTTATTAAACAATTTTAACTAGAATAACAAATCAAATTCCCATTAACCGATAAAATAATGCTTAATTTGTTGACAGATTTATCAGAGTATAATAATAATAATATTTATTGTTTTTTCGGCACATCAATTTTTTATGCTTATGGTACATCGCTAAAAAAATACTTTTTTCATACAGTATATGTGGAGTATTCGCACCTTGATATAGCACCTTCATTTATTTATACTTCTTATATTCTCTCGAAGTTTGTAAACGCCCTATAGATATATAAATATAAAAAAAAATATTTTTGGTTTAATAGATTCCCACATACAGGTAAGTTCCATTAACAATTTTTGAAAAACAGAATTGGAGCATGTTTTACTTGTTTTTGAGACAATAATATTACAATTTTTTTGTATGAATACTATTTAAATCAAATTATGACAAAAAAAATTACCTTCATGGCTTCCTTTATATAATCTAACATCATAAAACTCATGTCCCCAAAATCTCCCTTTGTCCCGCCATTTTGTTGTTTTTGGTGCCTGTTCACGTAACAGTCTTCTCCTCCATCCATAATTAATCTGAAAAAATACATAAATAATTATAATCACTGAAAACATTTCAACATAAAGTTCTTTAGAAATACATCTCATGATCAACCATCATAATGTAAATCCTAACAATTTCCATAACTGGCAAGTTCGTAAAGAGTTTATATTTAACAAACATATTTCGTTATAGACTAGAAAATACTAATACACCATCTCTATTTCATACAAATCTGTGTCAAATGAAATAGAATTCATAATATTCCTATTTTATTATAAATAAAACTACACATTTCGTAATTCTAAATACTTTAGCAATTTACATCAATCATTATTTTACTTATTTTATATCTACAGCCTTTTTAAAGTAGGTATATGTTATAACTATAATTTCAATAGTTTGCTCCTTTGGGCAATTTTAGATCAAAAGGAGATAAAAGGTTTGGAGCCACTAGTTAAAAACAATATATCACAGTTGGTCAAATATCTCTAATGATGTTTGAGAGATCGACGAAACTATGATTTATGTTGAAGGTAAAGTCAATAAAATGGTACACAAATCTATTAATCAGTCGCGGAGATACTGTAAAGCACTGTAACTAAAATGTTCTTAGAAGTAACACAAAGCAGTGGCACAACCAGAAAAAAATGCATCCATACATTCATTACATCCATCGGTCTACATCCATACCTTGCAAGTTAAACACGAAAAAAACTGGATTATCATATCGCGATAGCAGGCACCATTAACTGTTATTGCCTGGTCAGCCGCATTTTCGAAGAAGAATGGTCCATTGAGGCCACCAGCCCAAAATCCGCACCAAACAGTGACCCATTGATGTGGATGCATTTGTTTCTCAACAATCACTCGTGGATTTTCTGAAAACCAAATGCGACAATTTTATCGATTAACGAAGCCATCAAGACGAAAATGAGTGTCATCGCTGTAGACGATTTTGTTCAGAAAATGAGCATCCACTTGTTCCATAATCCATTCAACGAACTCTCTTCACTCTGCGTGGTCAGTAGGCTTTAGTTCTCGAGTCAATTGAATTTTGTAAACATGAAGATGCAAATTTTTCGTGAGAATACGCTGTAGATAGCTTCTTGAAATGTCCAGTTCCTAAACTACGGTGCCGAATTGACGTTTGGACTCTCAGCAACACTTTCACGAACTGCTTTGATGTTTTGTGTTGAACGATTTGTTGAAGGACGGCAAGAGTGTTTAAGATCACTGATTGATCCAGTCTTCGCATCTTGAATTGTTCAATTAATCTCGATTAATCTCTTCCCAATTGATGAAGTTAAATCACTATTCCGACCATATTTTGAACGAAAATTACAGACTGTAGCTGCCAAACCGTCATTAATTTTTTTTTCGTTGGCAACACATTACTGCACAAATGGCGCAAAATTCAAATCTTGATTGAATTTAGGGACACCCGATATAAACACAAAGAAAATTATTATTTTCATATAATTGAGAATACATTTAGTTTTTTTTTCATGATTGACCGAAAGCTGGGGGGTAAACGGAACATGCTCCACTGACGTATAAGGAATGGCATTATTGTTAATTTTCTTATTCAATTTTCAAAATACTCAGTGCCCTTAAAAATAGTTGACATATTTATTTGTAATCCCCGTCCAAGTTTCGTCAATCTATAAAAACATCTTCAAAGATATTCGAATAAACATCATATGTTTTTTTAAATTATATATTCTATATCTTGGAATTTAGTGGTTTGAAATCCTTATTTCATAAAGGGTATTTAATGTAAAATGATCCAAAGAACAACCTCTTCCAGTTAACATGAACTTAGAAAACACCCTATATAAATATAGGATGCTCACGTGAATGTTACTCCTCTCTTTTCTTTTGGTATTATTCAATATTGGAGAGAAGTGTAAAAAAGATGTAAAGATTGTAGCAGCATTTAACTAATTAACGAAACCATCATATTATAGAAGTAGAGACTTCATTTTTTAATTAAACATCCCGTTTGAAGGTCAGATTATTATCCCAATTTTACACCAATTCCTCGACCTCCAACTAAGAGAGAAAATTTTCTCAGGAATCTTGTTAGTGTGCCTAATTGTCATATGTATTGCAACAGTATATAATGGTAGTCCTTTTTTAATGCTGGCTTTATATTAACAATTTATTTATTAATTAATTAGCGAAGTTGTTCATAAATCAATTCACCAATATTAACTGTGCAAGTTACATTAAACTAAAACAAATAGAAAGTGAATAGATTTTCTCGATCTCGATGAGAATTGTTTTTATTAAATTACACAAGAAAAATTGACAAATGTCATATAACACATTTTACATGATGATATAAAAAGTTAAAGTATCTTTTTTTATTATAATTTTTCAGCAGCAAAGTAAAAAAAATGCCTAGAGGGGCACTTTTCACGTGGCTGTTTGATAAAAATCTAGCAGGTAATTTGATAACTGTAATAGGTATTTGATTGTATTATATAAGATATTGTTTAAAATTAGTGTAAGCGAGGTTAATCTTTCATTAAGAATTGCTTAACTTAGGTAATTTGCTATTTCCTTACTCTATATCCATACTGCAAATCATTGATGTTACGTCATTTGTAAAATTACCTAGGTGCACATTTTGTTTAAACTTGGTTGATTGTTGTAGGTAGTTAAAAATATAGGTATATTATTCTTAAAAAAATTACTTTTGGAATCAATACTGATTTCAAAAGATAGAACCTTTGGTCAGGTTAGTTTTTGTTTACCTCAATAAGAGTAGAGGATATGATGTAATAAAATTAATAATTTCAGAACGAATTAAATAAATGAAGAACATACATGTACTAATTGTAAGTCTATAAAAATAGTTCAAGGCTTAATTAGAGAAACAATTACAATGAATTCAACCTTCTGTTCAAACTAACAAATTGTCCTAAAACTGGGAATAGATGTATCATTTTCATGAATCAGAATTTAACTTGAAGAAATAAATAATATTTGCTCAGAAAGTAATGATTACAATTTTACTAATGTTTATTTTCATATCCGCTTTTGCAATACGATAAATACACTCATAGTGTACTTTGATACAAGGAAAAGTTTGTTTTGAATTTTAACCAGATTCAAAGAACATGTATATTACCACGCTCACATTTATATCTTTAAAGTAATTCCCACTAATATTTTATTACCTATAAACTTCTACATAATATGCCAAGATTAAGTACTAGACCTCATATTTTTTTTCTACAGAAGAAAAGAAGGATATTTGTACTTTCCTTCATTTTTTTATAGCTTCTGTGAGTTTTTCAAATATGTATTTTGAAATATACTTCGCAAGGGGGACATCAGGACGATAACACCAAATTTTAGCACTGTATATTTCTATTTTAAAACAAAAGTACCCACAGACCTTTCCTAGGATACTATACTTCAATAAAAATGAACTTGACATACACGAACGAGGTATTTTAAAATACATCACGGTTGATAAGTATATCATGCAAGTCAAGGTCTTTTACTACAGTTCCACGACACGTCAATGTTTCAGTTTCGAATTTCACTTAATTTGAAAGAATACGGGTGTAAAAATGTTAAGTTTCGTTTTAATAATTTAAAATCGATAAAAGTTACTTACAAGTTAACGTAATAATTTGGAAAATGATATATTACCATACAACATTTAATATTCTAGTGAAACTAGTGAAATATTCGCTGATCTGGTGTATTTTTCGCACATACTGATATATTTCTAGAGTCACTTGATGGCATTCAGTAAATATTCGTTATAGCTTTACTTTTTAAGTCACCTTACAAAAAAATCCAATGGAAATAAATACATACAACGTGCTGGCTATTCGCCCCATTGTTCCTCCTCTTTGTTCAATTCATTCATCAAGACAATAGCTACAGAAGTCCCTTGACAGTTCAAACCATTTTTGCAAATAGTGAATTTATTTGAAGGTACCTACTCGTTGATATGTTCTTATAATTATACAGATAAAAAATGTTCGGGCAATGGAATGGATTAAGAGAACCAAATGAACGGTCAGCACATTCGCTGGAATTATATCAAGAGGCTTTCTGTTTTGAGGTTGATTTAATTTCAGAACACACGGTGTCCCATTTTAAATAACGCATTGCAATATCTTATTAGGGAAGCACTTTCAAGTTCCAAAAAATCGATATTTTAACGCTCAGAAAATATAAACAACAGTTAGTACGGAGATGTTATCAAAATAATTGTCAATTTGTTTTTTGTTTTAACTGCGGTAATCAAAATACAGTCTAATACTAATACGTCCACCATTTTCTTTCACTTTAATACACATAAAATATTGGAACGACTGTCTGTGATAAATTGAGACCATGAAGACATTTGTACCATCCTTATACCTCTTTTTGGCGCGTTTAACAAATAATAAATTCACGTCCGCAACGACTGTCTTTGATATTAGCACACACTTGTGACGTAATGGCAATCTTAAAACGGTTCTAGTGTATACTGCATGCAATGCGTTAATTAAAATGGGACACCGTGTATAATCTCCAAAATTAAAGATCAGCAAGTATTTTAGTCAGAAAATTAAAAATTTCGATACCGATGTGTAGGAAATAATTAATTAATTACTTTTTCCACGATGTATTATTTCTCACCTGATTCCCATACAGGGTTAAAATTGTGGATATTAAAATATATTAAGAGATGCTGCTCTTCAAAAGAAAATTAGACTGTTTTCGTAGTTTTCAAGAAAATATTTTTCTGGGAGCCAATGCGGTTGTTTCACTTTCGTTGGCTCGCTCTGATTTTTTAATTAATTAATTTTGAATAAATGATGTCGGGTTATTTCTAAATTTATTCTGTTGTACCCACTGAATATTTTACTCTGCAAGCTCAATTTTAGATTATATGAATACATTATTACATATAAACCTTTAGATTTAAAACACATTTTCACTTAAGCATTTTCACACAGCAATAATTTATAAATATCCGAAACATCTATTCAGTTTTAAATAAGGAAACGAACGCGCAATC